ATTTGGTGTCGAATAAATCTGTGTCGAATCGAGCGGTGTCGAATCGTACTGTGGTCAATAGAGTATCACCCCAAACCGGCTTTCCGTTGGATCCATTCCAGGAGAACGAGCGAACAACGGCACTGCGCTATGCCTAGCAAAACGGGCCGGTCGATCCGCAAAAAGCACTTTACGTAAGAACGCGACTTTTCATGGTGTAAATAGTTTACGAACTCGTGTTATTTGAACTCACTTTAAAACTCACTTTTCAAAGCATCGCTACTTAAATGACTTTCCTAAAACTCGCTTTTCAAATTACTGTGTAAATATTTTTTTGTCTTTTGTTTTAATGAACTCTTATCATTCTGTTTTGTATTTTAACCGAGTCTACTCTGTTTTACTTTACCTTGAACCGAACCTTGATCCCGGCAAACTATTCCGCAGCTAAATCAATTTAATCTAAACAGAATCAGCTTTGACCAAAAAGCCAAACCGTTACACTTATTTGCATAAATATTGATAATCTATCAATATCGAGAAGTTCAACCAGTCAATTTTGGCCAATTCTTATTTATATAGATTTGCATACTATCAGTGAAAACTGGCGAAGGCCGTTTACTGTTGGAATTCACCATGGTTTAAAAAAAAAACCAGTCAATGCACATAACTTTATGCATTTTTTTGAAAACAAGTTTTAGAACTTAAGAAAAAAATCATTTTGAAATAAATAACATTATTATTAAAATAAAAGTTAGTAAACTTTTCTGCACTGCTCCAGCAAAATCATTTGTTTTATGTATTAAAGGTCACACAGGTTACTCAAGTTGTACGAAATGTACTGAAGAAGGAACTTTTATCCTTTTATTTTTTATTAAGGAAAAAGTTGTAGTAGTACAGAATAATGGATAGTGTTAAGGTGTAACGGTTCTACTTTTTGTGGAGAATTATCCCGTTTTATTTTAATGTAATTTAATCAATTTATTTGTTGCGGAATAGCTCGTCGGGATCAGGGTAAGGTAAAAATAGAGTAAACTCGGGAATTTTGAATAAGAAAAATGCTAGAATTTATTCAAACAAAAAAAAAGAAGAAAAATATTTACAACAAAATAAACAAAAGCAATAGAACTTACAATGAGCTACGTTAAACGCGGTTAAATCGGTGATGCGTGATATGGTCACGTTTGTGCGATATTCATTCAGGTTTCGGAAAAATATTTACACACGGAAAATGATTTAAACGGCGCCGCTTTGACAAAGCCGTTCTGCAGCCTTGGAAAGATATTTAGACCGTGAGAAGATCCTTTTCTTCCGAAACGTGAGTTACGCGGTGGAGCTTCGAAAACGAGTTTTCTCGGATTTGCAGGAAAAACTATTTACAGTACAGAAAAGTTGCTTTTCTTCCAAAATGTGAGTTACACAGTGACGCTTTGGAAAGCGAGGTTTCATCGGATTCGTAAGAAAAATATTTACTATACAGAAAAGTTGTTCTCTTCCGAAAATCGTACTTGGTTGATCTGCCGGTCTTTCTTTGCTAGGTTTAGAATGATATCGTTATTCGTTTGTTCCCCGGGGGCGGCTCTAGCAGAAAGAGCCGGTTTGCCCGGCGGAGAATACGTGATTTCCCTGGAACGGTTCTACCGGAATAAGCCTGTTTGCCCGGCGGAGAATACCAGATTTTCCTGGAGCGATTCTAGCGGAATAAGAGCCAGTTTTCTCGGCGGAGAATCAAAGATTCCACGGAACGGAGAGGAGCGGATGCCGGTTTTCCCGGCGAAGAATCAGGAAGATTCCCTGGAGCGGAGCAGATGCCGGTTTCCCCGGCGGAGAATCGAAAGATTCCCCGGAGCGGAGCAGAGCGGATGCCGGTTTTCCCGGCGGAGAATCGGGAGATTCTCCGAAGTGGAGCAGAGCGGATGCCGGTTTACCCGGCGGAGAATCAAAGATTCCCTGGAACGGAGCGGAGCGGATGCCGGTTTACCCGGCAGAGAACCGAAGATTCCCCGGTGAGGATCGGATCGTAAAGTCGCTTTCGGTTTGCCCGACCGAGAAGGAGCTTCCTTAGGTGCTTCTTGTAGATCCCGAGA